TCCTAGGTATGAGCTCTAGTTGGGACAAGGTTTATTAGAATGACTGTAAAACACTAGTGTATGCATTGCTTGGCGATTTTTTGCTCCTTTTTAGAAATATTAAAACTCAGAGTCTTGTAAGTCATTCGCACGCCTGACATTCATTTACCATCAGAATCACTTTCCCAAGACCTTTAGCTTGTCTCTTCCTCCTTAGACCTACACATGAGAAATGACATAAACCTCCAGAGACCTACATAGAGTAAAACATTGTTTTATCTTCCTCCTAAACACTACTCTGGCATTTTCTTATGATGTAACCACAGGAAGTACATGCACAGACTTTTGTTTAAAATAACATGTTTGAAGCTGTTGCAGAAAACCTGATTTTTGTTGTTGTAACTCTCTCTGGAAATATTCAGCTTCCCAGTCAGAGCAAAATATAATAAGGATCATTTAATTAGACACCCACTCACAATGGGAAAGCTGGGATTCACAACATATCCTTGCAATTAAGGGATAGTAATAATGTGTAAATGTCAAGGACCTTCCCACTACACAAGGTCAGGTCCAAGGGAGGTTCCAGAGGAGAATGAGCCCTGGGTGAAATCTAAGCTGGGGCCAATAAATCCCCATCAACCACACCTTCTGGAAGTACTTGGCAGCATTCCTATAACTGTTAATAGAATGTATAGAGTGTGGCTGTATATATACATACAAGGGGGACTTCAAAATGTTTCCGCACTTTTATGCACAAATATATGTATATATATATATATACATACAGTTAGGTTCATATATATATATTTGGACACAGGCACACTTTTCATACTTTTGGCTCTGTATGTTGCCAGAATACATAAATTAAAACAAAACAATCCAAATTAATTTGAAGTGCAGACTTTCAGCTTTAATTCAAGAGGGTGAACATAAATATCAAGTACAAATTTTAGGAACTATAATCATTTTTATAACAGTCCATCCATTTTCAGGGGCTCAAATGTAAATGGGCAAATGAACATAATCATAAATAAAATGTTCATTTTTAATATTTTGTTGAGAGTCCTTTACTGGCAATGACTACCTGTAGTCTGGAACCCATGAACATTACCAAAGACTGGGTTTCCTCCTTTCTGATGCTTTGCCAGGCTTTAACTGCAGCGGTGTTCAGATGTTGTTTTTGGGTCTTTCTGGCTTTAGTTTTGCCTTTGACAAGTGAAATGCATGCTCATTTTGGTTGAGATCAGGTGAGTGACTCAGCCATTGTAGCATATTCCACTTCTTTTCCTTCAAAAGCTCCTGGGTTGCTTTTGCAGTGTGTTTTGGATCATTGTCCATCTGTAATGTGAAGCGCCGTCTATTCAACTTTGCTGCATTTGTCTGAATCTGGGCTGACAGTATATCTCTGAACACTGCAGAATTCATCCCGCTGCTTCTGTCTTCTGTCACATCATCAATAAACTCCAATGACCCAGTACCACTGGAAGCCATGCATGCCCATGCCATCACACTGCCTCCACACATGTTTTACAGATGACATTGTGTGCTTTGGATCATGAGCTGTTCCAAGCCTTCTCCACACTTTTTTCTTCCCGTCATTCTGGTACAGATTAATTTTAGTTTCATCCATCCAAAGAATGATTTCCAGAACTGGTCTGGCTTTTTTAGATGTTTTTTTGCAAAGTCTAATCTGGCTTTTCTATTCTTTAGGCTTATGAATGGTTTGCACCTTGTGGTGAACCCTCTGTATTTGCTCTCGTGAAGTCTTCTCTTGATTGTAGACTTTGACAATGATACGCCCACCTCCTGGAGAGTGTCCTTCACTTGTCTGGGTGTTGTGAATGGGTTTTTCTTTACCATAGAGAGGATCCTGCAATCATCCACCACTGTTGTCCTCTATGGATGTCCATGCCTTCTTATGTTGCTGAGCTCACCAGTGTGTTCTTCTTTCCTCAGAATGTACCAAACTGTTGATTTGGCCACTCCTAATGTTGCTGCTATCTCTCTGATGGATTTGTTTTGTTTTTGAAGCCTTACAATGGCCTGTTTCACTTGCATGGACAGCTCCTTTGAACACATGATGTAGGTTCACAGCAATAGATTCCAAATGCAAATACCACACTAAGAATCAAATCCAGACCTTTTACCTGCTTAATTGATGAAAAACATAACGAAGGGGTAACCCACACCTGGCCATAAAACAGCTTTTGATTCAATTGTCCAATTACTTTTGGTCCCTTGAAAAAGGGTGGATGGCCAATCTTAAGAGCTGTAATCCCTAAACCCTTCCTGCAATTTGGAAGTACATACCTTCAGATTAAACCTGAGAGTGTGCACTTTCAGCCCATATCCATTATATAACTATAGCTTGAATATGTTTTGGTAAATACCTGAAAAGACTAAAATTGTGCCTGTGTCCAAATATACAGTATATGGTCCTAGCTGTGTATGTGTGTATATATATATATATATATATATATATATATATATATATCTTGTGACATGGGGGTGATTAGCTCTAGTGGTAGATGCTTTTCAAAGTAAGTTCACATCCGTCAGGAACTCTATTTAAGGCCTGGTAGCCCATGTTTATTAAAAAGACAAGAAACAAAACAAAAGTACAACATAAGCTTTCCCACAGAGGGGTTCCTATCCAGTTGTAAATACAAATGCAAAATACCAAACCTCCTGGCTACTCATTTATTAAATATAGTAGTGCACTCACATGTATTACAAGTGAAATCTGCATTGTAATGTTAAAATTTGAATCCACAGTAAAGTTTTCCAATCTTATTAAATACTTGCTGTATGTTGCTTTAAGCGTCGTGAGGTCAGAGCCAGAGTCAGAAGTCACGACACTTAAAGCAACATACAGCAAGTATTTAATAAGATTGGAAAACTTTACTGTGGATTCAAATTTTAACATTACAATGCAGATTTACCTTGTAATACATGTGAGTGCACTACTATATTTAATAAATTATGTTTTAAAAAGGATAAGGCACTATATTTTTTATTATATTCCATGGCCATTATACCTACTAAGAAAAATTCCTAAGGAAGCAAGGAGACCCCCTGCTGGAAAGAGGGAACACTCCGTTCATCCATCCATCCCAGAGATAGAGGAATCATCCCATCCATTTACCACTTAACCCCATTAAGGGGACACAAGTCTTTAATGATCTCACGTAACAGTTTGGTCATATACACTAGGAGAGAGCACAACCGATCAAGGTGTACAAATTTTTCATACGATTGGTGAACTACACAGCTTATAATTTTGTATCGTAGCACTGGAAGAAGTGTCAAAGACAAGGATTTAATAAGGACATATTTGTAGCAATAATATAATTGCAGAGATATCGTTATGCACAGTTGTGAAGCTGGATTGTTATTTATTTATTTACACATTTTTTTTTTCAATTGGTGGTGGAGCATGACACTTTCTTATTTTTATACTACAAAACACTCCCACATATGCAGGCCATTGATTGCAAACAAGATTTGTTAATTTGCACACACAAAAAAGTTTTTTTTCCTAACAAATTCATTCAAGATCATATGCACTCTCCTAAGAACAAAAAACCTCTCTAGCAATGCACACCAAACTGAGCATGTGCAAAATGCATAGGGTTCAGTCTGTCTTATCAGGAGATAAGAGGTGATCGCTTGAAAAAGGGGAGGAACAGAGAAGACAGGATCAATTGGCTTTACACAATACTGAGGATTAACCCCTCAGGTTCCACAGTGAGTATATAACAAGCATGCTTTACTGCACATACAGGCTAATTTTACTGTTGTGGGTTTAGTAACACTTTAAGTATACCTAAAGCCAAAAAAAATCATTTTAGCTTTGGATAAAATATGGTAAGGTTCGAAACCCTGACAGGCTCTAGAATTATTGCTCTTACTACAAATCTCAGGGGGTGTCAGGTGGGTGGAGGAACATGTCTCACTTCTACTAAAAAGTTGACAGCTCACTGTTAAAGGTAAACAAACAGGAGTTTGTTTAAATGATGGTACTGTCATTGATGCAATCCTTACATTGGCACCAGCGATAGGTTTAAGACTTCCCTACTCAATCCACAACAAAAAATAGTGATTTTGGCTTTGGATGCACTTCAAATGCTCAAAAGGAAGTTTAGGAATTAAAGTAGATTGTAAGCGTGCTGTTACAATTGTATGAAAGTATAATGTAATGCATAGTCCTAGTTAATAGTCATGTTTCTGTGAATAGAGAATGTATATAGGTAGTTAATTTTGCTTAAGCCATTGTTTATTGACCTCAGTATAATTGCTTAATATACTGCCATCTTGTGGTCATTTTGGTGATTTCACCATCCTTTTCTGTGTTCCCACCCATATTATGATGTATTTCCTCCTTCTTCACACAACTGTTTTATGGGATAAAAATGGCTGCTAGTCTCATGGCCACATGCTAATCTTCTCACACAGGGGAATGCATTACTATGTTTTGACCTGCAAATACCACCCTTTCATTCATCTATCACATCCTGTTGTCTGTTGTAATCAAGCCGCATTCAATAAAGATCTTCTTGGATGAGAAAGGGTATTTGCTGAGTTCAGCTATCTGATAAAGACTGTCCGTGATGATTGTATAGAGGTCTCAGCAAGTATAAGTCACTAATACAACAGTTAGAGTCAGAATAGTAAGGGTTAAGTTGAGGATTTGGGTAAGGGGGATTCAACAATTAGGGGTTTTCTTTGCTAAAGCTGGAGAGTCCAAAATCAGACTCCCTTCTGCATAGAAACCAATCAGCTTCCAGGTTTCATTGCCAAAGCTTCATTGAACAAGCTGAGGTTAGAAGCTGATTGGTTTCTATGCAGAAGGGAGTCTGATTTTGGACTCTCCAGCTTTAGTAAATAAACCCCTTAGTGTCTGCATCACACGTAGTTTAGACATTGGGATTAATCGTGCTTGTGTGCTTTACATGCTTGCTTAAGTGCATTCATAGCTAAATCGTGACAGCCCACATATCTTCTACTTTTGTTTTTAATACCTTCAAGGGCAAATATCCGTTCTCCTATTGATTCCGCAATTGTTGAAAGAACAAACTCATCCGACACATTAAAAAAATGTTTCTCTTTTGGATCACTTGCAATGGATATAATCTCATTGATCAGTTTCTCTGTGCTTATATTTCCTCTGTTGTAGTATCCAAGAATCTAAAATGATAATACATTACATACATATATGCAATACACGCAGAAAGGACTATACAAGCATCTCAGCAACCATTGCAACTTTTCCAAATTACAAACTCTTTCCCCATTTAACATCAAATATTTCACAGACTCTTAAAGTACATCTGTTAGTCCCCGTTCACACTGGTGATCCGATCAGGTTCACCTGTCTGTTTTTCAAGCATACCTAATTGGAAGGTCCATTTATCCCTATGGACCAGCAGGTGTAATTAGACTTTACACTCACCTAGCTCCAATTTGATTTGGAAGGGAATTAATTCCCTTCCATCTATCCATCTATGTAGATTGGTTTGAAGGGCAGTCGGATGGAAATGGACAGCCAGGCCATTTACAGTACAACCTACCACCCATAGAGCAGAGTGGACTGTGTTGGTGCCTGCTCTGTAGAACCTGAGCAGACATGGACCTGTCATCTGCCAAATCTGCTCTGCTCAGCTGTAAATGAGCAGATAGATCCCCTGCTGAGCAAAGTGGATTCCTCCCTGTGTGAAAGGGGCCTTATAGGTGTGATAAGGGATCTAAAAGTAGTTGTGAAAGACTACCTTCTTAATGAAGAGTATAGGAGTGCTGAGGTATTAAGGGTGGAATTACATATGGGTTGTCAGGTACTGGCTGGGGGGATTCTGGAGAGTGTTTATGCCTCATCTAAGTTTCAAACATACCAGTGGTTTCAAGGTTGATGATTGATATGGAGAAGACAAACTTGTTTTCCTGTAATCATAATCAGTTCTGTTTTTAGACCCTGCAGCCTAGAGGCTTTGTAGAGCTTTGGATGGGGATATGTCTCCATTCCTAGGTATATATCTTACTATAGAATACTGGGGTGCCGTGACAAAGCTCTGTAGCTTACACATGTGTGCTAACTAAACCCCTGTTTTTAACGCATACTGTTAGGTTAATATGTTTTTTGCAGGCTGGCTGGCAAGTTAGAGCTGGGAATTTTTCTTTTTTGTTGTTTGACATGTGTCACCCTTCCATGTGCTCCTTGCTGTGAAGGCCAGTTATAGACTGGAGCAGTGGTCATTTTTTGTACTGTTGAATTGTTGATCGAGGGGGCGCACTGGACACCTTAGCTGCCATTGTGCTACATGCTGGGTGTCCAGTGTCCTCCTGTACCTTTAAGGAGGGGTGGGCTCCCTCATATCCATCTGCCCTTAGTCTAGCCATTAAATACATGTTCCTCTACTATGGGGGCTCTTAAAATTGTAGTTAGGAACTACAGAATACTGGGGTGCCATGACGAGGCTCTGTAGCTTACGCATGTATTTGCAAATGTGTACTAACTAAATGCCTGTTTTTAACACATACTGTTAGACAGGTTCATTCGGTTTGTTTGCAGGCTGACTGGCAAGTGAGAGCTGGGAACTTTTCTTTTTTGTTGTTTGACATACGTCACCCTTCCATGTGCTCCTTGCTGTGAAGGCCAGTTATAGACTGGGGTAGTGGCCATTTTTTGTACTAGGTATACAGTATATCCTACCTGGTAACCAGACCTGATTTTTTTGTTTCAGCTGTCAAAAGGCCAATATATATTTGAGCTGACTTATGCTCAGGGCTCTCTTTCTCTCTTGTTCTTGCTGCTGTAGGAGTCTTCTTCTGGGTGTAAAGGCTGAATGCTCATAGAGCACTAAAATTTTACAAAAGTTGCATTTTTGTTTTGGGGAACCCGTCAGGGGCACCTTGTTAGTCAGAAACTCACTTAAGTTTGGTTAATTGCTCACATAGGCAGATGTTTTGTTTGTTTGATGCTATGGACTTTCTGTTTAATGCCCTTCTGCATTGCGGACTGTGTTTGTTTGCTGCCTTGCTGAAAAAAGTGCAAGACAAACCTGCTTGGACTGTTCTTGGGTACCCTCAACTCATAGTTTACCTCTGCCAATAACATTTAAGCCCATCCCATTTATAGGATGTTTTTGCTGTTATGTTAATTAGTGGAGTAATCTATAGGCCCCACAGTATAAAAGTGTATGCAAACCTTAAAAACGAACCTCCTTTTTGCTTTCTTTTGGTTTGTAAAATATAAAGATGAAAGTTTTGCTCTACTCAATTGTGCACTCTTCAGTGTTATCTCAAGAGGTGTTATCAGATCTGCCAAGTTCACCTCTGTTATCTAAGGCAGTGTTTCTCAATATTTTTTTCAGTCAAGGCACCCTTTAAAATTATGGATAATCTCAAGGCACCCTTTAAAATTCTGCACAATCTTGAAGCACCCAATTTCAAAAGGCAAAAAAAAACTATTCAACACAAATCCACACACATAATACACCCAACTTTAGAGGTGATTTTGCACACTTTGCACACTGGTACTGACTAGTATTCCAGTGTGTCTCTCTCAGTTTCTTTCTCTCACTCAGCTAAGGCAGTGGTCGGCAAGCCACGGCTCGCGAGCCACATGCGGCTCTTTACAAACTTAAATGCGGCTCTTCTGTGTGCCGGGCGCCCGCTCCCCTACCTCCTCTCGGGTGGCCGCCCCAAAAGTCAGGACTCTGCAGCTGTCAGGATGTAGGCGGGGCAGCCAGGATGTAGGCGGGGCAGCGTGACGAACTCCTCTCCTCTCACAGTCCGCCCTGAAGACCAGAACGGCGCTGGAACACGGCGAGAAGAACGCGCGGAGCAAAGGTAAGTGAATTGACACAATATGGGGAATGAATTACTATAGGGGGGATGAATTACTATAGGGGGGATGAATTACTATGGGGGAATTACTATGGGGGATGAATTACTATATGGGGGATGAATTACTATGGGGGGTGAATTACTATATGGGGGATGCATTACTATGGGGGATGAATTACTATGGGGGATGAATTACTATATGGGGGATGAATTACTATGGGGGATGAATTACTATATGGGGGATGAATTACTATATGGGGGGATGAATTACTATGGGGGATGAATTACTATATGGGGGATGAATTACTATAGGGGGGATGAATTACTATATGGGGGGATGAATTACTATATGGGGGATGAATTACTATGTGGGATGAATTACTATGGGGGATGAATTACTATATGGGGGATGAATTACTATATGGGGGATGAATTACTATGGGGGATGAATTACTATATGGGGGATGAATTACTATATGGGGGATGAATTACTATATGGGGGATGAATTACTATGGGGGATGAATTGCTATATGGGGGATGAATTACTATATAGGGGATTAATTACTATGGGGGATGAATTACTATATGGGGGATGAATTACTATGGGGGATGAATTACTATATGGGGGATGAATTACTATGGGGGATGAATTACTATGGGGGATGAATTACTATGGGGGATGAATTACTATATGGGGGATGTATTTTCAGTTTTAAAAATGTGGCTCTCAAAATAAATTTCAATCGTGGTTTTGGCGAGATTTGGCTCAGTTGAAAAAAAAGGTTGCCCACCACTGAGCTAAGGTAACCCAAGTGTGGACAGAAAGGGGCAGGGTAGGGACAAACAAGGATGATGTGCATGAACCCGACTTCCTCCTTATCAACTGATGATGTCATTGGCTGTTAGTATGCTGGCAGCTAGATGGTCATAAAAGTGCACAGTGTAAACCTGTGGCTTTTTGTAACTAAAAGGCAGGATTGATCAACCTGCTGGCTTGTATACAATTTTTGGGAATTTTTAGGACATTTAGCCAAGGCACCAGTGAAGAAGCTTGAAGGCACCCCAGGGTGCTTTGGCACCCTGGTTAAAAAAGGCTGATCTAAGGAATATATTTTACTTATGTTTTGGAAAGAAGCGAAGTTATTCTGTAGTCCTAACGCATTTCCTATTATAAGATGACAATGCTGCTCTTCCATAGCTATATTAGAGTGACCGTTGTCAGCATAGGACAGAAAATTGGTTACTGGCAGAATCACGAGGTGAAAACAAGGAAAGGAAAGTCAGAAAAAGAGAACTAATGCAGTCACTATATTAAAGACTGATCAGCTTTATTACTTTAAGGTTCTTGGGTTTAGATGCACCTCAATGTGTAGGTAAATGGGCTTATTTAGGAGTTGAGAATTTTCATACAATAAATTGTGAACATATTCACTTTAAATATCCAGTCATAAACAGATGTAAACAGGAATCTGTTTTTCACCAGTTTGGTTACTAAAAAGAGCTACAAATTTGTTGTGGCAAAAAAATTAAAACACAATTTACAAGATGAAAAGGATTATATAATTAAAATACAATATATACTTACAGCAACACCATATCTTTCAATTCCATCTTTTTCACAGTTAGCAATGACATCAGGCAATTTATAACCATCATGAGATTCACCATCTGTTACAACCAGCATAACTTTCTTCACTCCTTTCCGTGCACCTCTTTCTTCACTGAAAGCTTCTGCTCTGAAATTTACACAAGATCAAAAGATAAGCATGTACTGTATGTTTGTAATTATCCCAAATTATTATTAATTATAAAAGTTAACATTTCATGAAGTTTTGTGTATTCAGTACTAAAGTACAATGTGCTGTAAAAAGAAGGCAATGTATTTAACATAGAATTATTAAAGCCCCACTCCAGGCCAAATATGAATGGACTCCCATCCTAACTTCCACCTCCTTGTAACCCATTTTTCAAGGCTTTTGTTATTCTTACCTGGTGAAGCATCTACATCAGACATCCATGTACATTGTCACTGTAGTTTCCAGGCATGGGGGACCAATAATCCAGTTCAAAGTGCATTCAAAACCGTTGGACACTGTCATCAGCAGAGGCAATTGTATGGTACCATGTCAAGCAGGCATTATCCTGAAATGGAGCCTAAAAGTCTATCTAAAACCATAACATTATTTTAGTTTTACATGTCCTTCTAACCTTGCTACACTCTTGCAGGAGAGCGTAGAAGACTTAGCAGTCCTATCAGCTTTGAATTGCTTTATGTCTCTGAATGAGTGAAATAAAAGTAATTTGCTGCTGGCTATAAAAATTCAGTTCCATAGCCAAATATACTGCATGTTGCCAAAGTATACTGTCACTAATGCTGTCCATGAATACCTAAAAGTACAGCTTTGAGGCATTCACCAAACCTGTAATTTTTTTTTTATGCAAGAATGCAGTTAACAATGAAAATGACTGCAGAATTGGGCTGAAAAATAGATAAATGACAGCATATTGTCTGTCAGTTTAGTCTGTGAACTAGCCAGCAGTGCTTGATTGAAGGAAGAACATTAATCAAACTAGACTGTTACCCAATGACCCTTCAATTAATATTCTACCCTCTATTTAGGTTAAACGATGTTTTATGCTTTAACCACCTCCCTTCTTTCCTCTATCTGCAAGTTGTTAGACCGACCACCAAACCTGTAATTTAAAGGATTTGTGATTTTCCCATGTCACCTTGAAAGAGCCCTCCCTCACACAATAAACTTTTTTTTTTGCATCACCCAAACTTTGCTACAACTGATGGTGTTTCCCGTGCTATTTGGTTGACAATAGCTTGTCCAGCAGCCCTCCAAAAGGCCAAAAGTGATTATCAGAAATGATCCCTCATTGACCTAAATGCAATTCAGAATTTGTTTTATGGAATATTATTAATTTCATAAATTTAATCTGAATTGAATTTTGGCACATATACTATCCACTAGCTACTCCTCCGGTCTTAACAACACACATATTTCCTTTATGTTAGGAAAATTTTTCTTTTGAAATATGGCCTCGTTCAATGGCTGCCCATCATGGACTTTTTAGGTTCTGAAATATTTCTCAAAAAAGTGAAATGAGCCTAAACTGGAAAACTGGTTCTTAATAGGGATGAGCCAAACATATCTGGGTCTGGATCTGGTTTGGTGAATTTAATTGAAGTTCAAATGCAGAATCTGAGTGAAAAGCTTTAAAAACGCAAGCTGGAGAGTAGACTGCATCCGTGAAACTCTACTCTTGATGCAAAATCTTTACAACATTTATATGTGTATTTTTCAGTGACATACATCTTAATTTTTCAAAAGGCCTGTTCCTTTTTACACTTTTTCAATTATACAAGGGTGTGGGTCAGCTACAGTTGCATTTTCATGCTGGGCTTTACTGCTTAGTAGAACATCCTAGATAGTTTGCTATTTTTCTCCTGTGTTCTCTTTTCAGCTATAGAAGCATAGACATTTACAGAAACAATATAAACTCTAGGTGGCTTATCCTGACATTGACTGTCTCATAGCAGTTGTTCAGCAAATATGTCATTCTGCTTGATACTAGAGAAAAAGCCAACCAAGTAATCAATAAAAAACTTAAAATCTTGCAAATAAGGCACAGTAAACAAGTTATGATACTAAAAAACATCTCTAAATTTACTTTCAGTGACCCTTGTGATGAATGCACACTGAAAATACATTCTAGTTTCCATATAAGCCAAATCTATTAATGTTTCTATTTTATCAAGGATTGAAGTCTTTTTCTGAAAACAAACCCCATCCTTTCAAAATAAAAATAATATTTAAAAACAATGATTTGCTGTTGATGCGTTATTGTCTCTTTACAGTCAAGTGACATAATCTCAAAGTTTCCATTAGGTGGTGACTATAGGAAGGAAATATTGTATACTGTATATTGTTTAAGAAGTTAAATATGCCATGCATCTGTCTGGAATCAGTCATTCCGTGAAGCCTACGTTAAATTCAATTAGCTGTCTTAGCATTCCAGGATGACAAGCCATATAGCACACATCATAATTCAGCATGAACTGTTAAGTTTCCATATTCGGCTATGTGGTTGAAGTTGTTAAAAGTTCCACTATGCTATATTTAGTTTACTTTACTTCTCTTTTAGTTTTAGTCTTTTTTGTGTCTATCTGAAATGCAAAGTTCAAGTGGATCTATGACCTTCAATGCAGTTAGCGTGATTAGAAACAGCATTCACTGAATTCACAAAGTGGTGCCAAGTAATATTTTTTGTCTTTTGAGCCATGCTTCCAAATATAAAGAGCTGTTGTTCAACAACCACATTCTATGCACAATACTCACAATACAGTGTTTAGGATGTCTTAAAGCAACCATTCCCTGCCAGAGTTCCATGAAACCCTAGGGTTCTTAAGGGTTCCTTGAGCTTTGGCTAACTGCCCCCCCCCCCCATCTGATGGTTCTTGCATAGTTCCAGACCCAATGCGATTTGGTAGAACCAGAGGCATAACTGCAAACATTTTGGCCACTCCTATAAGGGGGGGGGCATTCTTCCTATTTACCACCATCAATTTAAGGGTCGTTTTCCCAATGACCCCCAAAAGAGTAATCTTATCAGGGGTTTCCTGAGATCTAAAAATAATTTTAAGGGTTTCTGAGGGGTAAAAGGTTGAAAAAAGCTGTCTTAAAGAAAAACCCCAGTTTTTTTTTTCTTTTGGCCACCTCATTCCCTGGCAAAAATAAATCCGTAAAGTGCACCGCATCCTCTCCACAGTGCAGTGCTGTCCTTTTCCAGATTGAATGACATTCAATGTTATTCAGCCCACTTCCCGTGAGCCCAGTTGTCAATGACACAGCGACCAAGGGTGTATCATAATGCAGCCTGGGCTCACAACAGAAAGCTTCATGTATTCACATTCACACATCCTCTTATGAGCTCCGGAGTATGCAGGAGAATGGACTACCGAGACTGCTGCTGGAGAGAATGAAGAGGGGCTCCAGCTTGTCATGTGAAGACATTGGAGTTTAAGGTATGTATCCTGAGAATTAGAGATGAGCGAATTATTCAAAAATTTGGTTCGGCTGATTCGCCGAATTCGCCGAATAAATTCGCTTTGAGCCGAATATATTCGCTGCGAATTTAACTTATAAAAAGGGTGTTTCTAGGCTTCGGAGAGCCTTTATATTAGTGCAGAACACTGTACCTTTAATTTAAATGCCCTTGGAGTCTGCTGGGGAAGAGAAATAATACTGTCAGTCAGTATGACATGCAGATGAGTGCCGTCGATCTTAGAATCACCGCACACTTCACTCATTTGGGCAGTCACGGGGCCAAAACCAGAGTGTGGAGCCAAGTGTGGCGGTGGAGGCAGCAGCAATGGGAGGCCATACAGCACCCTATGACAAAATGGAACCCACCAGCAGTGTGAGGAAACCTGAAAGTGGCACATGGCAGAGTGTGGCGATGGAGACAGCAGCAATGGGAGGCCGTACAGGGACCCATGACACACTCTGGACCTGGCAGCAGCATGAGGAGGCGGTACAGGGGCCCATGACAGATTACGGGCCTGGCAGCAGCATGAGGAGTCGGTACGGGGGCCCACGGCAGATTACGGGCCTGGCAGCAGCATGAGGAGGCGGTACAGGGGCCCATGGCAGAGTGGCGGAGCGTAAGCAGCTAAAATTGAAGGCCATACAGAGGCCTATGTTAAAAAGTCCCCCCAGCAGCAGTGTGGGGAGACGACTATCAAGAGTCCAATGGCTGAGTGGCGATCCGGGAAGTCAGCGTTGTGATTGCAGATGCAATGCAGAGATTCTATGAGGTGATGCCGTGGGTGCGAAGAAGATCATATACCGTCGTACTTCCATCCATAAGACGGAACAACCTGCGAACCGGGAGCTTTATTGCCCTGACCCGCTGAGCAGCTTCTGGGATACCCAAGAGTTTGGCTTCTGTGGGGAATATGGTTGAAAACTGAAACTTAAAAGCATGTTGACGGAAGGGCACCAGTGTCAGTGCTCCGGAGGGAATATAGCTTCAAAGCTGACACTTAAAGGTATATCGACGGTCAGAGACCACAGGAAGTGGAGCTTGCGTCTTAAATCGACTGAATGTGGCAGACGTGAAACGTCTACGGGCCGTATATGAAATGGGTTGTTCCTCTTTCTGGAATAAGTGTTGGAAATGGCCAGTCTTTTTGGTGTGGCGTTTTGTCTATTTAATTCCGATAACGGACTCTACTCCTCCGTGCAATCTAGTTACGAGACCCTGGGCAGGTCTGGGTCCAATTTGTGGTAGAGACTGGTTTTGTTCAGCCATGCTTGAGCGAGTAATAACAGGTCTGTGCTGCCCTTTGGTGTCTGGCTTAATGCGCACAACACTGAACGTCCCAGCGTTTGTCAACGATTTGCCGTTAAGTGATGCAAACCCGCTGAACCACGTTCATGAGGAGCCGGTACAGGGGGCCATGAATCAGTATGGACCTGGCAGCAGCGTGAGCAGACGACAGAGGCACATGGCGCAGGGTGGCGGTGTAGGCAGCAGTATTGGAAGCCATACACAGGCCTAGGTTAAAAAAGCGGAAGCCGTCAGCAGCGTGAGCAGACGACAGAGACACATGGCGCAGGGTGGCGGTGGATGCAGCAGTATTCGGAAGCCAAACACAGGGCTCGGTTAAAAAGCGGGAAGCCGTCAGCAGCGTGAGCAGACGACAGAGGCAGGCAGCAGCAATGGA